AAAACACTCGATAACACACTGTGTTGGCAAGGGTGTGGGAAAACTGGCACTCTTCAAAGTTGTGAGAGTTTAGACCGGTTTGGCTCAGTGGATAGAGCGTTGGCCTGCGGACTCAAGGGTCCCAGGTTTAATTCCGGTCAAGGACATGTACCTTGGTTGCGGGCACATCCCCAGTCGGGAGTGTGCAGGAGGCAGCTGATCCATGTTTCTCTCTCATCGATGTTTCTAACTCTCTATCCCTCTCTGTAAAAATCAATAAAAATATATTAAAAAAAATAGTTGTGGGAGTTTAAATGGGCATGGCCACAGTGGAAGGCAATGTGGCATGAGCTATCAAAATGTAACACACGAACAACCTTGACCCAACCATTTCTTAGGATTGACCCCTCAGGTCTACTGGCCCTTGTGAGCAAACACTTCAGTTCTCCATGCACATAGTAATAATTTGTATTACCAAGACTGAAAATGACCCAACACCCAATGAGAGGTGAGTTAGAAAACGCAGGTCCATTCTGAAGTTGGAATGCTACACAGAATAAGGAAGCGTTGATATAACACTGACTCCAAAATATATTGAGTGGCCTTGGCCAGTTTGGCTCAGTGGATAGAGAGTCAGCCTGCAGACCAAAGGGTCCCAGGTTTGATTACTGTCAGGCTCTTCCCCAGCCTGGGCTCTGGTCAGGCCTCGTGCAGGAGGCAACCAATTGATGTGTTTCTCTCACATCGAAGTATCTCTCTGTCTTTCCCGCTCTCTTCCATTCTCTCTAAAAAGAGAAATAAAACGAATGGGAAAAATATCATCAGGTGAGGATTAAAATAAAATAAAATAAATATACTTATTGAGTGAAAAAAGGTAAGGTACAGAACTGTGTATATTATAATCTACCTATTTTAAGGGAGCGTCAGACATACCTCCATGCCTATATAAAGGACTTGCAAGGGTCTTGTTGAAATGATGGCCTCTGGGGAGGGGAACTGAGGACTTGGGAGAATGAAAGTAGGGAGCAATTTACTCTTCACTCTAGATCAGGAGTTGGTTAAGTTTTTCTGTAAAGAGCTAAATTGTAAATATGTTAGGCTTTGCAGGCCATTTGGTCTCTCAGCTGCCTCTGAATTGAACAAGCAGCCATAGACAATATGCAAGTGAATGGGTGTGGCTGTGTGTCAATACAAAGTTATGATCGATACTAAAATTTGAATTTCATGTGTTAGGAAATATTTTCCCCACAACTTGATTTTATTGCCATTTCAACCCCAACTTTAAAAAATGCTCATAGGCCCCATCCAGTTGGGCTCAGTGGAGAGAGCGTTGGCCTGTGAACTGAAGGGTCTCAGGTTTGATTCTGGTCAAGGGCACATGTCCAGGTTGTAGGCTCAGTCCCCAGTAGGGGCCGTGCAGGAGGCAGCCAATCAATGATTCGCTCTCATCATTGGTGTTTCTATCTCTCCCTCTCTCTCTGAAATCAATAAAAATATATTTAAAAAAATAAATTTTAAAAAATGCTCATGGATTAGAGCATTGCCCCAATATGCCAAGATTGTGGGTTCAATCCCTGATTAGTACACATACAAGAATCATCCAATGAATGCATAAATCAATGGAACAACAAATCAATGTCGTCGTCCCCCCCTTCCATCTCCCTCTTCCTTGGTCTCTCTAAAAATCAATAAAGAAATTTATTTATTTATTTTTAAAATATATTTTATTGATTTTTTACAGAGAGGAAGGGAGAGAGATAGAGAGTTAGAAACATCGATGAGAGAGAAACATCGATCAGCTGCCTCCTGCACATCTCCCACTGGGGACGTGCCCGCAACCCAGGTACATGCCCTTGACCGGAATCGAACCTGGGACCCTTCAGTCCGCAGGCCGACGCTCTATCCACTGAGCCAAACCGGTTTCGGCAAAAGAAATTTATTTAAATGCTCATGGGGCCATAGAAAAACAGGTGGGCCCAATTTGGCCTACTGGCTGCAATCAGCTGACCTCTGCTCTAGACCCTTTTATATTGTTTGATTCTAATTCTTTACTTTTTGTATGCATTACTATTACAAAATAATGCTTAAGAGGGGAGCTTGAAATTTTAGGTTTATCAAAAGGAGATGGGTTAAAGTTGGGTGCAGGTACCCTCTACTGGTAAGAAGTGAGCGCCGAGATGGAAATCCCTGTTTTCCTGCACTACCACCTGCCTCACTCCACCACCAGATAGCAGCACAAATCCACCTAAAACCCGGCCTTCCCAACACCAGCTGGGACGTTGGGGGCAGAAGTCAACCCACACATACCTGTTTTATTTTGCCCAAGGTATGTTTAAAAAATGGAACCAGCATTTAAAAAAATCTGGGTTTGCAGCTCCTCTTTATTTAACTTTATTTAAAAATATTTTTACTTGAATTTCATTGGGTGACATTGGTTAATAAAATCATATAGGTCTCAGGTATACAATCCTACAGTACATCATCTGTATATTGTATGGTGTATTTATTTACCACCCCAAGCCCAGTTCCTTATGAATAGCAGCTGCCCTTTGGGGCCTGATGGCTCCAGGCTATCCAAGTTCTCAGTGTCAGCTGCTGTTTCTCATCCTGCCCTGTTGCTGTTTTCTCATAGGGGACACGTTTCACGGGACACCTACCTCCTCCCCTCCCCCTCCCCACTTGGGCCGTAGGCAGGTGTTAGAGCACAATGGCTCTGGGTCAGATTAGGGCTGATTCCAGCCCTGCCATCTACTAGTTTTGGGTATGTTATATGACCTTGTTGCCTCAGTTTCTCCATTTGCAAATGGGTGTATTCCCCTTTCAGAGCTGCAGGGACTGCCTGATAGGACCCGATGTAGAGAGCTCTCCAGTCTGGCACATGACAAGTACTCAGTAGGTACTACCATTTTCCCCTGTCCTGCTCTCATATAGGCATTTGTTTGCAACACCCCCATCTCACAAATGACCCTCACACTCCTGACCTGATGCAAAACATACCTCCTGTTTGTGTGTGTGTGTGTGTGTGTGTGTGTGTGTGTGTGTGTGTGTATGTGTGTGTGTGTGTTTTTATTTCAGAGAAAGGGAGAGGGAGACATAGAAACATCAGTGATGGAAGAGAATCATTGATCAGTTGCCTCCTGCACGCCTCCTACTGGGGATCGAGCCTGCAACTCAGGCATGTGCCCTGACCAGGAATCGAACGGTGACCTCCTGGTTCATAGGTCGATGCTCTACCACTGAGCCATGGCTGCTGGGCCTCCTTCTGGTTTTGAACACATTTTTGAATTCAAGAGTATAGAAGCGGTCTGAGTGTGAGGCCTGGCCCTGCCTTACTAGCTGTGGGCAAGTCACTTCACCTCTGTGGACTCAGGCTGTTTATTTGCTGGCTGAGGAGAACTAACTCAGGTTGGTAGGGCCTGGAAAATCTCTCCAGCAGACCTGAGAGTGGGAAACCAACACCTAAACCCCAAGACTGCTTTTCTGGCCCCTCCAAAGAGTTTGGTTGTTGGCCCATTCCACTGTGGATTTCTTTGATAACACCTTTTCTTTTGGGAGCCATCCCTCTCTCCTCACATCCTGTGGCTTGGGAAGTGTTGATCCTGCCTCTGCAATTCCAGGTGAACATGTTTCAGCCCTGGCCAATCAGAACACCTCTCCACCACCATGCCCTCCCTCCCCACGGTGATTGGTTCAGGAATAAACACATGACCCAATCCAGGCCAATGAGAACCTGCCCTGGGGCTTTTGCTGTAACTGCTGGGAAAGGAGACTTCCCACTGAGATTGCTGAGCTGGTCCAATGTCAACTCAGAGAAAAACAAGAACTAGTTAGAGACTACGTTCTGATGAGTCATGTGAGCCCGAGTCTTGCCAAACTTTAAGTCAAAACCTCTTGTGAACTTTTCAGTTATGTGAACTTATAAAATTATTTTTGCTTAAGTTTTCTGTAACTTATGAGTTGATGAATTCTAAAACCCCTTCCTTTTGTGGTCCCTTTAGACACTCACAAATCAAAACTCTAGTGGGAGACAAACTTTAAGGAAATTAAAGTTATGGGTCACAATTTTTAAAAAGAGCTTTATCTGTGACTGCTCTAAGAGTCTTTTGTCATTTCTCTGTCCTCAACAGGCTTTTTCTTCTAATATTGTAGAAATTCTCTAGCCCAGACTAGATATTGATTGTAATGCGTGTAGTGTTCACTACTGAACCCCAGTGCCTAGCACAGAGGAAATGCCTTATAATTATTTGTTCAATGAATGAACAAGTTACTCATTTGTCTGAAATGTTGTGTCTCCCCACTTGCCTCAGCCTAAGAGGTTCTGTGTAATGTCTTTTTTAACCTCATCTTCCACCTTCCCCTTGCTCACTTCAGTCCAATCACACTGTCTCTTAAAAACCCCAAGTTGTTCCTGCCTCAGGACCTTTGCACTTGCTGTCCAGTCAAGAGGCCTCTTTCCCCAATTCTTTCCTCAGCTGGCTCCTTATCTTCCTCTAGATCTCAGCTCAAATGTCACCTCGTCAGACAGGCCATCCCAGACCACACTGCCAAACAGCCCCACTCTGCTTTCTCTATGCTGTTTGATTTTCTTTACAAATCAACATCTGAATGCCCATGTGCATTTATTTCTGTTTATTGTCCCTCTACCCAGGAGGTCATCTCCACTAGGGTAAGTCATTTTCTGTTTATGTTCACTGCTGTGCCCCAGGGTCCAGGTCAGAGCCTGGCACACACTAAATGCCAATAAACATTTGCTGAAGGAATTCACTAATGGGGATCAGCCTTAATACTCTACCATCATGATCTCCTGTAAGAGGACCATTCCTGACCAAATCATGGATCCCCTCCAAGTGTTTGAAGTGGATATCAACATTAATTCACTGTCTCAGGTGACAAAGCCCCCATCCTGAGCCCAGAGTTGGGGGGTGGGGAGGGGAGCTAGGAAGAGGCTAGGGGTGGGGCCTTACCCTCCAAACTTCTTACACCCCTTCCCCAGCCAACCAGGAAACAGGAGGTAGCCCAGGTTAAGTAGACTCTTGCTGCTTTGTTATAAATATATTATGTACATCCAAAACATGACATTAAAATATCACTCCGTGTTACAGAAAAGATATTAAGGCTTTCTATTATTTACATTAAACAAGCAAGCACCTTTAAAAAAAAAAAAGCCCACTCTTCCTTCTCTGACATCCCCCTGGCCAGAGGGGATACTGTGTCCCCTTCCAAATGATCAGACCCATCGTAGGGGCTGTGCCCTGTGAAGTCGTCCTTCTTTCATGTAGAAACATCAGCTCTGGCTGGAATCACGTGGGCAGATCGGGAGGGGAGGAGAAGGTCCAGACTTGGGCAGGGGATTCTGGCTTCTTCTGGCCACCTCAGACCCCTGCTGTACTTTGCTATCCTTAAATAGACAGGCTGGGCAGGGGCTGTCCCCCAAGGCCTTTAGGGTCAGTTTGCAGGGCAATGCTCCAGGGACACTTAGGTGAGCCTAGGGGCTCCTAGACCACTGGGAGAAGACAAGGAGGGACAGACAAGAGGATTAGTGGCCTTAACACCAGCCACACGGAAGGGCTGCCCAGTGGGGCTAGGGGAGGTCAGAGTGTGGGGAGTGGGTGAACTTCCCCTCTACCCAAAGGGCTCCTTTTTCTGCAGTCAGGCTTGGCAGACAGAGCAGCTCAGGTAACTAAGGAGGGGGCTGAGGAAAGGAAACGGAAAAAAAAAGGGAAATGAAAAATCAGTGGCTCAAGTATTGTGTGTCACAAAGGGTGGGCTGGGGGTGCCCAGGCCCAGCTCAGGAGGCGTCCTCTCCACATGGAGGGGCCAGCACGAGGAAGGCTGGAATTTGGCAGATGGCTTCGGTTTGGGGAGGCCAAGGAAGGTTGGCAATGAGGTGGCAGGCTGGAGGCGTTATTTGATCTTCTGGGCCCATTTCATGTCATCTGCCCGAGGCTTCTCGCCCGTCAGGCCCTGGATAAGGTCCTCTAGGCGTCTCCAGAAACCCATCTTCTCCAGAGGGTAGTTGAGCCAACCTGCAGCGGAAACAGGGCACCAAGGGGTTGAATGGGAGAGGAGCGGTTGAGGGAATATAGAGAGAGCTGGTCCTACCTGAGGCAGGAGCAATAGGGAGTGGTTTGGCAGCAGGGAGGGGACAAGGACTGATCAAGGAATCTAGGAACAGGGGCCTCCCACCAATGGGCTCAGGAACTGCTCAGACATGCCCTCATTCATTCACTTTCTTATTGAGCACTTACTGTATGCTAAGCATAGTGGCAGCATCTCTTATCACTTGGCTCAAATGCCACCTCTCCCAGGAAGCCTTCCCTCCAGGCCTGTGATGCCCCTCTTTTCTTTATAGCCTTCCGGATAATGTAACTAATCTCATTAATTCAGCACTTCCATGTTATTTTGTTGAGTTTTCTCCCCAACCCTCAACTAGAATGTCAGCTCTGAACAGCAGAACCTCATGTTTTTTCACTGTTCATCCCCAGTGCCAAGAATGGTATCTAGCACATGGTAGGTGCGCAATTCATATTTCTCACAATTTTATTTCATATCTGCATTACAATCTCCCAACCAAACAAGGCAGATACTATTATCAGTCCCTTTTTCCACATGAGAAAATGAAAACTTAGAGGGGAGTTTTCCAATTAGTAGCAGGCCAAACCAAGATTGACCCCAGGCCTGGCTAAGCAGTTCACTGAACTCCTAAATGGCCTAAATTCTATCCCCTCCACCTTCTCTCAGAGTATGACTTGCAAAAAAAATTTTTTTGTGTGGTTCTCAGTTCTGCCTCCAGAAAAACAAAACAATCCCTCCCCCAGCCCCAGCAGCTTACCGAGTACCTACTATGTGCCAAGCACTTTGCATCTGCCATCTTGCCATTCACACCCAGAAAAGCTGGTACGTGAAGGAAGTGCCTGCAGACCCATTTTGTGGATGAAAAACACCACATCCGGGGAGGCTTGAGTCCTCTAAAGGCACACATGGAGGAGATGATAGGTGAACCTAACTTGGTCTGACTTGATAGCACCTTATATACTTAACCTTGGAAGAAACCCAACTCGTCCTAGAAAACAGGCTCACCTGATTCACCTCACCTCTCTGGTGGCACTGGCCCATTACCAACGGTATATGTGCCTCCTGACTGTTCCTCAGCCACTCTAGGCATCTTCCTGCCTCAGGACATTTGTACTTGCTATTCCCTTTGCTTGGACTGGTCCTTCCTTATTTATCTGCAACTATCTGCACTCCTACCACATTCCAGCTTTCTGATCTCCTTACATGAACAGCCACTCCCCTCGCCCCCACACCCCATGACTCTCTGCCCTTCACCCTGCTATGCTTTCCTCCGTAGCATTTCTCAGACCTGGACTTGGTCCTCTCTCCTGTCATACTTCCGCTCATAAGCCCTCCACTCCAGTCACAATAGCCTCCTTGCAGCTCCTCAAACGAAAGCGCATGCTCCTGCCTCAGGGCCTTTGCACACTGTTCCTGCAACTGGCAGAGCTCTTCTTTCAGATCTGCGTGACTTTCTCCCTCGGTTTCAATGTCACGTTCTCAGTGAGGGCTTCCCGGACCACCCCACTTAAAGGGAAAATTTCCCCATTTCCTTCCACCCCTGCTTTATTTTCCTCCATAGCAGTTAGCACTATCAGATGTAGGGCTTGTTTATTGTCTGGAATGTCCCCTATTAGAATGTAGATGCTTTGAAGACAGGATTTTTGCCAGTATTGTTCAGTGCTGTGTCCTAAGCCCAGAGCAGAGCAGTGCCTGGCATACAGTAGGTGCTTAATAAATATTTGTTCCATGAGGTGGGGTTGGGGAAGTTCTGTCTTATTTATGGCTATGTCCTTAGCACCTAGAAGAGAGCCTGGCATATAGTAGGTGCTCAATAAATGTGTTCTGAGAGAATGTTCACACAGGGCAAGGACTGCATGACCTTCCACTGTGACCTGTGCCCTCCTGACCCTGAGGATGGAGTTGTAGCTGGAGTGGGGGGCGGGGGGTGTCCTGTTCTATGCCGCCTTCTAGCCGCACCTGTGGTGATGCAGAAGTAGGTCTCGTGGGGTGAGACGTGGTGGATTCGATGGTGTTTACGTGGCAGGATGACATGCCAGTCCTGCAGGAGGATGACCCAGCGCGGCAGCCCAAAGTACGTGTGCGACCACTTGTGAATCTGGTTGGTGAAGGTGCCAAAGATGATCAGGCAGAAGACGAAGCATTTCCAGGGGTACAGCTGCTCCAGGGCTTCTGCAGGGTGGGGAGAGGGTGGGTACCCATAAGGCCCACATAATTGTCACATGGGGTTGGGGGCCGACCACCAGCTCCGGGCAGCTCCCATCCCAGGGTAGCACCCAGACCTCCCTGCAGCCTCCCATGTGGCCCCAGCGGCCAGCTCAGACTCCCCTTTGCTCAGTGGGCAGATAATGAATAAGCATAAATAACAATAATGTGGCCTCTAGAGTTGCAGCACGGGGCTTAGATCGCTGCTATGACATTTCTTGGCTGTATGAACCTGGGTCAGTGACCCTGGCTCTTTGAGTCTTAACTTCCTCATCAATAAAATGGGAATAAGTTGCCTAGCTGGTGTGGTTCAGTGGTTGAGTGTTGACCTATGAACCAGGAGATCACGGTTGGATTCCCGGTCAGGGCACATGCCCGGGTTTTGGTCTCAATCCCCAGTAGGGGATGTGCAGGAGGCAGCCAATCAATGATTCTCTCTCATCATTGATGTTTCTCTCTCTCTCTCTCTCTCTCTCTCTCTCTCTCTCTCTCTCTCTCTCTCTCTCTCCCTCTTCCTTCCTCTCTGAAATCAACCAAAATATACTTTAAAAAAAGGAAATAAGTCTTTGTCCAGGTTCCCTAGAAGCACAGCCTAAGAAGGATTTGGGGGGGGGGCTTTGTGATTTATTGGGGGGTGGGGGAGTGAGGGGAATCCTCTCTTCTGGAAGAACATCCGAGGGAATGAGGGAAGCAGGACAGGAGAAGAGCTAAGCAAAGATGGGGTGGGGGGAGTCTTGCCTCAGCCGATCCTGAGGGGAACTCTGGAGTGTGAATGGCTCCATAGAGTCGGTCCCATTCAGAAATGAGGGGGCTGGTCTTTTGTAGGTGTTTCCTGCCACTGGCTTCAGGCTTATCCTCAGGGGCGAGGTGGGACCTGCCCTAGCCGTTCTCAGAAGGGGCAGCTGGGAGTTGTTGGCGGCCCCCCTCACAGCAGCAGTGAGGGATGGTTCCACCCCTTGGGAAGAGGGTGTGGGAGGGGCACCACAGCACCTACTACCACAGATACTCATCACATCTACCCATAGGGAGGTTGCTCTGAGGATCAGTGCGGTGTCAAATTGTTAAAACAAGACCTGGAAAAGGAAGGACAGTTTCCCCACCTGACAGTAAGGCTCAGGGAGATGAAGTGACTTATTTTGGGACAAGTTCCCTCCCTCAAATAGGTAGGGCAGAGATCTGAATGCAGGACTGTCCGAGTTCACAGCTGATCCTCTTTTTTTTTTTTCCAAAATGATACCTCCATATATTTTATTTTATTTTTTTAAGGTATCTTTCTTGTTTTTTCTTTTTTTAATATATTCTATTGATTTTTTACAGAAAGGAAGGGAGAGAGAGAGTTGGAAACATCGATGAGAGAGAAACATCGATCAGCTGCCTCCTGCACATCTCCCACTGGGGACGTGCCCGCAACCCAGGTACATGCCCTTGACCGGAATCGAACCTGGGACCTTTCAGTCCGCAGGCCGACGCTCTATCCACTGAGCCAAACCGGCCTCGGCAAGCTGATCCTCTTTCTACTAAGCCAGGGCAGCAAAACCAGCTCTTAGGCAGGTCATACAAATACGCAAGGGGGTGGAGGGTGTAGGACAGCAGGGAGTAGTGGCGACTGTGGCAAATTGGAGAGAGTGCATTCCTGTCTAAAGGTGGCAGCTGCACTTCGCTCCAGCCCAGTGAGGAAGACAAGTGGGAACAAGGGCCCAGGGTGGCCAGATCGGAATGTTTAAGAGAAGCTGGAAACCCAGGCCTTTGTGTCAAATATCCCAATGTTACATGAAGGTAACAACACTTTTTATAACACTGTGAGGGCCCACACACATACACAAGCCACAGGAGGCTCATGGGCACATGAGTGTGTGTCTCCGTGGCCCCCTGGAGGCCCACCACCAGCCGGCACGCTCACCAGGGCTCTGGGTGTGGAACTGATAGGCCATGTTCACCAAGGGCAGCAGTGTCACCAGGCAGTTGTCCCCATTGGTCTCGATGAAGTCATGGCGTGTGATGGCTGTTGGGTCGATGTGATGCTCCCGGAACGGCCGGATGAAAGCCTGGGGTGGGATAGGGAGGCGGGAGTGGGGATAGATCCAGCCAGTCTGTCTATGCTGGCCGGCCACTCCCAGTCTCCAACACACACATAATTTGAGCTTGGCTTTGGGATGCCAGAACATTCCACCATGCCACTGATGCCACAGACCCCACCCAGCCTTCACGGTCTAGTTCTAGCAGAAGACAGATCGAAATGACCTGGCCAGGACCACGGGCTGGTACTGCTCCCCTTTGGGCCTGCCTCCCGACCTGGGCTATGAGACAAGCTCCACCCTCTTTCCCACCCTAAGACAGGGAAACAGAGGCTCAGACAGGAAAGGGAACTCACCCAACGTCAGAGAGCCCGACCTCCTTCCAGAGGAGAAGGGCTGGGGCTGGGTCAATATACGCACCTTCCCCACAATGGGCAGCTCCACGGAACCCCAAGTGTCGGCTCCCCAGTGCACTAGGCCAGACAAGAAGTCAGCAATGAGAGCCCCTGCAACTGTGGACAAGACCAGAGTGAGAATGGCGAGGGGGGCAGGGGACACACAGGGACATCTCGCCATCTGCCCACTCCAAACCAGGGAGCCCAGCATTCCCTCACTGGCTTGCTCACTCATTCACTTATTTGTTAGGGGAGAGGCCGTCCCTTCCCTACGTGGGGGCTCTCTTTCCTGTGAATGGAGCCTCAGTCTGGTTCTGGCCCTTTCCTTGTTCTGCCCCAGGGGAGCTGTGGGGACTGGAGAGAACACACTGGGCATGCTCAGATCAGCCTAACCGTTCCCTGGGAGAAGCGGACCCTCAGGTGCCCCGCACAGGGGAGCCCGCTCTGTTACAGTGCTGCTGGTGACCGGACGGAAATGTCCTTCTGGATTCTGGGGTCAGGAAGTACTTCACTGGCTTATTTTGGTTAGCGTAATAATCTCCAGGGGGGTATCTGTAACACTCAACAATGAAACAAAAAGAGAAGTACATGAGGTGCCGATGGACACCACAGTCCCCAATCCTACCTAGCTTTTATCAACAATACACGTGGTAATTTGGCATCCAGCAGCCTTTTCCTTATCTTTGTTCTCAATTAGTTCAGAACTGGAGTGGGGTCTTTAGGGAAGGGGGAGAGAGAGAGATATATATATCACTCACTCACTTGAGGGTTTAGTATGATACAGAGGTTAAGAGCTGTGAGATCTGTACTCAATTTCCAGCTGTCGCTCACTAGCTGTGTGATTCTGGGCGTGTTACTTAACCTCTCTGTGCCCCGATTTCTTGAAGATAGATGGGAATGATGATTTAAAAAAGAGGAACTACCACTTATAGCACTTTCTTAGTGTCAGACACAAGTGCTTTACATGCTTGATTTCAATAAGTTCTCATACTCTGTTAGAAGTTGGTACCATTTTTGTTTTTAGTTTATAGAGATGGGAACTGAGGTTTGGAGAACAGAAGTTACTAGAACGAGGTAGCATAGATGGCAAGTGGCAGAGCTGGGTTCTTAACCAGCCTTGAGGATCAAATCCAACACAGCAGGATGAACCATCACCATCGTACACCTGGGGAAACTGAGGCAGAGAGGCGACCACCTGTCCAGGTAACACCCCAGTGCCACTCCCATCACACTCCCCTCTCACTGCATCTCGGCCCTCTTGGTGTGTCCCCTTTCCCTTGACACCCTTACATGTCTTGGGTCTTCACATTTGCTTTCCCCTCTGCCTGGAACATTCTTTCCCAAGATGTAACACAGTTCACTCTTCACTTCCTTCAGTTCTTCACTCAAAGTCCTCCGAGGACACCGGATCTAAAATTGTACCTGCTCTTGCCCAGCGGACATGGCTCAGTGGTTGAGCGTCAATCACTGAACCAGGAGGTCAAGATTCGATTCCTGGTCAGGGCACATGCCTGGGTTGTGGGCTCAATCTCCAGTGTGGGGTGTGCATGAGGCAGCCGATCAATGATTCTCTCTCATCATTGATGTTTCTATCTCTCTCTCTTCCCCTTCCTCTCTGAAATCAATAAACATGTTAAAAAAATAACTAATAAAATAAAATTGTATCCCCTCTCACCTTCCAGCATTTCCTATCTCCTGTCTCCTTTTGTCCAAGCGCCTGTCCCCTTGGACTTCATTTTTCTGATTACTGTGTCCCTCACAAGGATGTCAGCCCACAAGGTCAGGGATTTTAGGCTTTTGTCTATGGCTGTATCCTGGTTCCTGGCACTTATCAGGGGTTCTGTACATACTCACTGAATTAATCAATGTAAACACGAAGTACAGTCCCTGGCACACAGTAAACCCTCCATACCTATTATTATCGATGCTGTTGTTATTCAGTCATTTAGTCTGTAAGTAACATTCTGTGAGACCCTGTACTGTGCACCAAGCTCTGGAACCAGAGACGCACCAGATATTGAGCTCACTGTCCCTGTGGCAGAGACACAGGCAGGAAAAGCTATGAAACATGGCAGGGAATGAATGCAGTTCTCAGTGATTGTCAGGGTAGTCCACTGGGTCATGTGACTTCAGGCACACCCTTTCCCTCCCCCTCCCCACACTCAGTTTCTCTGGTGAACTTGTTCAAGGCCCAACAAGGCCATTTAAGGGTTCTTTGAGTTCTGCTAGAGCCCTTGGCCCCTTGGTGACAAGAGACCAGGTCACCGGGCCACTGTGGAGGCTGCAGAAAAGTCCCCGGAAAGGGGGTCATGAATGCGGGGGCAAGAGTAGGCATGCAAGTCACTGTGGGCTTGCAAGTATCTGGACCCAAGTTAAAGGGTAGCCGTGAATGAAGACTTTCCAGAGGGCTGGAGCCTCCACCCCATGGATATTGAACATGGGACAGACAGTGGGGGAAGGGAGACACAGCTCTATGGAGCCACCTGCAAGTTCTTGGTGACAAGGCCAGGTGGGCAGGTAGGGACAAGCACTACCTCCTGGCATGCGGAAGCTGAAAGATAAGCCATAGGGTGACACAGGTGGCCGGGTTGGGGAGGGTCAGGGCTCAGCAGGGCCCTCTGGGCCTGTATACTCAGCGCCCCACCCAGGGCTGGGCCGTCCGGCTCCTCAATGACAATGCCGGGAGGGTGGACCCGGGCAAGAGTCAGGGAGGCCAGGGAGACAGGAGACAGGGCTCTGCACTTGCTGTTTCCTTGGCCGGCACCCCTCCCCTCCCTAAAGATCCCCGAGTGGCTGGCTCCTCCTCAGTCTTCCAGGTCAGGGCAAACATCACCCAACCCCCGAGCACCTCTCGGCAGGTGCTCCTGGTCACGTTTCTGTGCTTTATTTCTATCACGGCACGGTCACCGCATGAGACGGTGTCATTTACTGTCCCCTCTTCTTGGATAAGGAAAGGGGCTCTGAGAAGTCCCCCGACCCTGGAGTCCCATGACATGGAAGTGGTAGCCAGGGCATGGGAAGAGGCAGGTCTACATGCCTCTAAAATCAGCACCCTTTCATGCCCTTAAACTGCACCTCAGTAAGTCCAGGGGCATTAATAGAGCTCCTACTGCATACTACAGGATGCTCTATACCAGCGGTTCTCAACCTGCGGGTCGCGACCCCTTTGGGGATCGAATGACCCTTTCACAGAAAACACATATATAATTACATATTGTTTTTGTGATTAATCACTCTGCTTTAATTATGTTCAATTTGTAACAATGAAATTGGGGGTCACCACAATATGAGGAACTGTATTGAAGGGTCACGGCATTAGGAAGGCTGAGAACCATTGCTCTATACACACTACCCTGTGTCCACCAGGAGCGACAATAGGGTATGTGGACAAGAGCTAAGGTGAATCTAGATAAAAAATCAGGGGCCTCATCTCTTGCTACTATATTGCTGTGCCGCCTTGGGCAAGTCCCTTGCCCCCTCTGGGCCTCAGCATCTTTACTTGCATAGAGAAGTGACTCCCGAGGCTCTATCCTGACAACTCTGACTAACAATGTTCTATCTATCTATCTATCTATCTATCTATCTATCTATCTATCTATCTGTTTTTAAAAAATATATTTTTATTGATTTCAGAGAGGAAGGGAAAAGGAGAGATAGAAACATCGATGACGAGAGAAAATCATTGATTGGCTGCCTCCTGCACTCCCTGCACTGGGTATCGAGCCTGCAACCCAGGCATGTGCCCTGACTGGGAATTGAACCATGACTTCCTGGTTCATAGGTCAACGTTCAACCATGAAGCCAAGCCGGCCAAACTATTTATTTATTTATCTTCACCTGGAGATATTTTTTCCATTGCTTTTCAGAGACAGTGGGTCGGCCGGTGTGGCTCAGTGGTTGAGTGCTCCCGACTTGGGGGTAGGGAGCAAACTGCAACTCAGGTATGTGCTCTTCACCTGGAATTGAACCTGCAAGCTTTCAGCGAGCGACCAATGCTCTAACCAGTGAGAAACACCGGCCAGGGCTAATGATGCCTCTAAATGCTGCCTACACGTGAAGGCAGCCTCCCAGTGAGTGTGACCTTGTGTCCCCTAATATTCCATGCAACCACTGATCTGCTTCTTATCATAGATTGGTTTTGCATATTCTAGAACTTCACATAAATGGATTCACATAAATAGTATGTGCTTTTTTGAGTCTAGCTTCTTTCATGAGCATAATGCTTCTAGAATCACCCATGTAGGTGATGCATCAGCAATTCATCCTTTTTATTGCCGAGTCATATCCCATTGTCTGGATGTACCCCGGTGTGTTTATCCATTTCACTATTGGATGTCTGGGTTGTTTTCAGGTATGACTCAAGTGTCATACCTGAATGTCCGTGAAAATGTCCATATATAAACCTGTGTGTAGACATAAGCCCCATTTCTCTTGGGTGACGATTTCAGCTGTTTATTTTTACTTGACATTTGTTGGGTACTTTAGGTACCAGGCTCTATGTCAGCACCTTAAAAGTTTTCACTCTTTTAATCCCTACACTGTACCAAGGCCAGTCCTAAGCTGGTTACACATCTTATCTCTGTAATCATCCTAAGCATTTAATCCTTCCAGAGAACAGAAGTAACAATGAAAACAATACAGGTGTCCCTGACTTACGATGGTTCAACTTAGGACTTTCCAACTTTACAATGGTTCAAAAGCAATATACATAATAAATCATGATATTTAATAGTTCATTATAAATAAGCTTTGTGCGATGATTTTGTCCAACTGTAGGTTAATGTTAAGTGTTCCAAACACATTTAAGGTGGGCTAGGCTAAACAATGGTGTTCAGTAGGTTAGGTGTATTAAATACATTTTTGACTTATGATATTTTACTGGGCTGTAACCCCACCCTAAATTGAGAAGCATCTGCGTTAGAAAAACAATGTTTGTGATAACAGTTAATACTTGAGCACTTTCGTGTGCCTGGTGCTATGTAGGTGTTAAAAAGTGCATTATTGGGGACCAGAGCTCCCTGTACCTTAACTATGGGCTGTGCACAGTGACTTCCTTCCAAAGGGAATGCAGTATGGAAGGGGGAGGAGAGTAACTCTGCATTGGAGAAAGTTGGCAA